AGATGAGTGGAAGACAGCATTCAGTACCACCTCGGGGCACTATGAGTACCTCGTCATGCCATACGGGTTGATCAATGCTCCATCAGTCTTCCAATCCTTTGTTGATGAGATTTTTAGGGACCTGCACGGACAGGGTGTAGTGGTGTATATTGATGACATTCTCATATACTCCGCTACACGGGCCGAGCATGTGTCCCTGGTGCGTCAAGTGCTTGGTCGACTGTTGGAGCATGATCTGTATGTAAAGGCAGAGGAATGCCTGTTCTTCCAAGAGTCCATCTCCTTCCTAGGGCACTGCCTGTCCGCGTCAGGGGTGGAGATGGAGATTGACCACATTTCGGCCTTGCGTAATTGGCCGACTCCAACCACGGTGAAGGAGGCGCAGCGCTTTTTGGGTTTTGCCAACTACTACCGGAGGTTTATCCGGGGCTTTGGTCAAGTGGCGGCTCCCATTACCTCCTTGCTGAAGGGGGGACCGGTGCGACTGCAATGGTCAGCTGAGGCGAACAGGCTTTTGGTCATCTGAAGGACCTGTTTACCTTGGCTCCAGTGCTGGCTCATCCGGATCCCTCCTTAGCATTCCAGGTTGAGGTGGACGCGTCCGAGGCTGGGATAGGAGCTGTACTGTCTCAGAGCTCCGGTACGCCACCAAAGCTCCGCCCCTGTGCTTTCTTTTCTAAGAAGCTCAGTCCGGCAGAGCGCAACTATGATGTGTGGGACCGGGAGCTGTTAGCTGTGGTTAAGGCCCTGTAAGTGTGGAGGCATTGGCTTGAGGGGGCTAAACACCCTTTTCTCATTTTGACTGACCATCGCAATCTGGAGTACATCCGGGCGGCGAGGAGATTGAACCCTCGCCAGGCAAGGTGGGCCATGTTCTTTACTCGTTTTGTGTTTACGCTTACTTACAGACCAGGTTCCCAGAACGCTAAGGCAGACGCCCTGTCCCGACTGTATGACACAGAGGAGAGGTCAATTGAGCCCACTCCCATACTTCCGGCGTCGTGTTTGGTGGCACCGGTGGTGTGGGAGGTTGACGCGGACATCGAGCGGGCATTACGTACCGAGCCCACTCCCCCCCAGTGTCCAGAGGGTCGTGTGTATGTGCCGCTCGAGGTTTGCGATCGATTAATCTATTGGGCTCACACGTCACCCTCCTCTGGTCATCCTGGCATCGGTCGGACAGTGCACTTAGTGGGAAGTACTGGTGGCCCACCTTAGCCAAGGACGTGAGGGTTTACGTTTCCTCCTGCTCGGTGTGCGCCCAGTGTAAGGCACCTAGACACCTGCCCAGAGGGAAATTACAACCCCTACCCCATTCCACAACGGCCGTGGTCCCATCTTTCGGTTGATTTTGTTACGGACCTTCCCCCCTCACAAGGGAACACCACGATCCTGCCGTCTCATTCCTATGCCAGGTCTCCCTACGGCCCTACAAACTGCTGAGGCCCTATTTACACACGTCTTCCGGCACTACGGTGCCTGAGGATATTGTATCGGATCGAGGTCCCCAATTCACCTCAAGGGTCTGAAGGAATAGACCTGGAACGCTGCCCATGTACGCCTGCAGCGGGCCATCAGGCAACAAAAGGCGAGCGCCGACCGCCACCGCAGTGAGGCTCCGGTGTATGCACCGGGGGACTGGGTCTGGCTCTCGACCCGAAACTTGCCCCTTCACCTGCCCTGCCGGAAGCTGGGTCGGCGGTTTGTGGGGCCATTTAAAGTCCTGAGGAGATTGAACAAGGTTTGTTATAGGTTACAGCTTCCTCTGAATTACCGTATTAACCTCTCGTTCCATGTGTCTCTCCTCAGTCCGGTGGTAGCTGGTCCACTCCAGGAGTCTGAGGTACGGGAGGTTCCTCCGCCCCCACTGGACATCGAGGGGGCACCGGCGTACTCGGTCCGTTCCATCCTGGATTCGAGGTGTTGGATGGGGGGCCTGCAGTATCTCGTGGAGTGGGAGGGGTATGGTCCGGAGGAATGGTGCTGGGTCCCTAGGAGGGACATCCTCGATCCCTCCATGTTGAGGGATTTCCACCGTCGTCATCCGACTCGCCCTGCGCCGCGTCCTCCTGGCCGTCCCCGAGGTCTGTGTCAGCGAGGGTACTGTCACGGATTCAGCAGAGGCTGCTCCTCCTCCTTGTTCGGGCAGGCTTCGGCGTTTGTCGTCACCGGAGTACTAGCTGCTACCGATCTATGTGTCTGTGTTCTACTTGTCTTGTCTTGATTGTTCACACCTGGTTCCCATTAGTATTGATCACTTCCCTATTTAACCCTCTGGCTCCCACTGTATGTTGTGCGTGTTTATTCATGTTTGGTTGCCATCTGGTGAGCGGGTTTGTTTCCTCCCTGCGTGGAGGTTATGTTATTTTACGTTACCTACAAGTAAAGTACGTTTTCGATTAGCTCTGTGTCCTGCCGCATCACACTGACATCCTGACAATTATTGCCTGACTCATCCGGAATTTTAATTCCGCCTCTCTCTAGCTAGCGTAGCGAGAGCGCTCTCTCATCGAGAGCCTCGATAGCGAGTAGCGCGCTAAGTGCGAGCACGAGAGAGATCGCGCGAGAGCGAGTCGCGGAGCGCGCTCGCTCGCTCTCGCGACTGCGCGCGCTCTCTCTCTCGCTCGCTACCGCTCTCTCTCTCTCTGCTCTCTCTCGCTCTCTCGCTCTGCTCTCTCTTATAGCTATAGATTATATATATGATAATATATATATAATTATATTATATATATATATATATTATATATATATATACACAAAAGTGCACAACCCTTCAAATTAGTGGATTTGGCTATTTCAGCCACACCGAGCACACAACCATGCAATCTCCATAGACAAACATTGACAGTACTCCGCTGTCCTGGCGTCGTGAGGGAGCTTGTTCCACCATTGGGGTGCCAGAGCAGCGAACAGTTTTGACTGGGCTGAGCGGGAACTATGCTTCCGCAGAGGTAGGGGAGCCAGCAGGCCAGAGGTGGATGAACGCAATGCCCTCGTTTGGGTGTAGGGACTGATCAGAGCCTGAAGGTACGGAGGTGCCGTTCCCCTCACAGCTCCGTAGGCAAGCACCATGGTCTTGTAGCAGATGCGAGCTTCAACTGGAAGCCAGTGGAGTGTGCGGAGGAGCGGGGTGACGTGAGAGGGAAGGTTGAACTTGGGAAGGTTGAACACCAGACGGGCTGCGGCATTCTGGATGAGTTGTAGGGGTTTAATGGCACAGGCAGGGAGCCCAGCCAACAGCGAGTTGCAGTAATCCAGACGGGAGATGACAAGTGCCTGGATTAGGACCTGTGCCGCTTCCTGTGTAAGGCAGGGTCGTACTCTCCGAATGTTGTAGAGCATGAACCTACAGGATCGGGTCACCGCCTTGATATTAGCGGAGAACGACAGGGTGTTGTCCAGGGTCACGCCAAGGCTTTTCGCACTCTGGGAGGAGGACACAACGGAGTTGTCAACCGTGATGGCGAGATCATGGAACAGGCAGTCCTTCCCCGGGAGGAAGAGCAGCTCCGTCTTGCCAAGGTTCAGCTTGAGGTGGTGATTGAGAAGTAACGCTACAGCATACAATGACATTCTAGACGATTCTGTGCTTCAAACCTTGTGGCAACAGTTTGGGGAAGGCCCTTTCCTGTTTCAGCATGACCATGCACAAAGCGAGGTCCATACAGAAATGGTTTGTCAATCGATGAGGAAGAACTTGACTGGCCTGCACAGAGCCCTAACCTCAACCCCATCGAATACCTTTGGGATGAATTGGAACGCCGACTGCGAGCCAGGCCTAATCGCCCAACATCAGTGCCCGACATCACTAATGCTCTTGTGGCTGAATAGAAGCAAGTCCCCACAGCAATGTTCCAACATCTAGTGGAAAGCCTTCACAGAAGTGTGGAGGCTGTTATAGCAGCAAAGGGGGACCAACTCCATATTAATGCCCATGATTTTGGAATGATATGTTCGACAAGCAGGTATCCATATACTTTTGGTAATGTACATGCAGTCACTCTCCATCCTAGAAGTAATTTGTGTGAAGTCAAAATGAGGGCCGTTGTAGAAAACTAATTAGCTATTGGATCGTCTCTAACATCTGCATATGAGTATCAAAGTTGATAATGTCATCATGTAGGCCAATTCTGGCCCAACCCATCGGTTTCTGGGACCAATCAGAACGGTCACGTGTTCGCATTCCAGAAGTCGTCGGGGAGGGAGGCTTATCCAGACCATTGAGAATGATAATGACTCTAAATTGTATCTGTCCCATTATGGAGTCTGTGAGCGCACGGGCAGCGCCATTGAGGCCATCTCCATTTTGCAGTTGTCCATTTTCTTCTACTAATTCTATGACTTGGTAAACAAACTGAAAGGGTGCATACTGCCACCTGGAGTGTGGTTTGAACAGGTATAAAGCAAAGGTTGGTAATTTACTGCCACCTGCAGATATGGACTGTTTTCTCATGAGTGTAATTCATTTGCTGATCCCTCCTGATGACCTGGATGGAATTGTCCGACGCATAGGAAGTCTCACCCAGTCGACTACTTTAAAATGGTTTTAGTCCTCAATGGTGCTTATCCTGCTAAAACATGCTTTTTAGCACTAGAGTCCTCTCTCTCTATGATCCATTTGGCTGGCGCGACGTGGATGGGTAGCCAGGCAATGTGTCGGATTAAACACCGTCTAGCTTGAGACTGAAGTCAGCTTGCTGGCGCCCGGCCTGCAACAAGGAGTCGCTAGAGCGCGATGGGACCAGGAAATCCCGGCCGGCCAAACCCTCCCCTAACCCGGACGACGCTGGGCCAATTGTGCGCCGCCTCATGGGTCTCCTGGTCACAGCCGGCTGTGACACAGCCTGGGATCGAACCTGGGTCTGTAGTGACGCCTCAAGCACTGCGATGCAGTGCCTTAGACCGCTGCGCCACTCAGGAGGCCCTTGCTCACTTATCTACATAACTGACAGATACATTATTGTTTCTCACAGGAAAATGTGGATCCCTCAAAACAAGACATGGATACTGAGTCTGTGATAGAAGTGGTCCAGCCCAGAGAACTAACAGAGGAATATATCCAGGATGTTTGTACACTCTCCCACAGTAAGCTCCACTCTTAAATTCCTTTAAATCCTTCTCAAAAGTTTGAATGATTAGATCCTTAATCCATTGCCATTTTATGTTTTCAGCCTGCAGAAAACATTGGGATTGACCGCAGTTGAGGATGTTTTGGATCCAAGACACATCAATCTTCAAAACATTGTGTACAATATGACCAATGTGAACAAGCATGGGGTTGTTAAACTTGAGGATAAGACGGGTAGGTCTCTGATTTTATATCTGCACTCTGTGCCTTGGCCAGAACTGTCTTTTATTGATCGCGGTTATAATATCGTTTAGGACCTTGAGCGTGGCTGAGGTGCACCCATTACCAGCTCGGAAACCAGATTGCATAGCAGAGAAGGTACGGTGGGATTCGAAATGGTCGGTGATCTGTTTATTAACTTGGCTTTCAAATACTTTCGAAAGGCAGGGCAGGATGGATATAGGTCTGTAACAGTTTGGATCTAGAGTGTCACCCCCTTTGAAGAGGGGGATGACCGCGGTAGCTTTCCAATCTCTGGGGATCTCAGATGACACGAAAGACAGGTTGAACAGGCTAGTAACAGGGGTTGCTACAATTTTGGCTGCTAATTTTTAGAAAGAAAGGGTCCAGATTGTCTAGCCCAGCTGATTTGTAGGGGTCCAGATTTTGCAGCTCTTTCAGAACATCAGCTATCTGAATTTGGGTGAAGGAGAAGCGGGGGAGGCATGGGCAAGTTGCAGCGGAGGGTGCAGAGCTGGTGGCCGAGGTAGGGGTAGCCAGGTGGAAAGCATGGCCAGCCATAGCAAAATGCTTATTGAAATTCACGATTATCGTAGATTTATCGGTGGTGACAGTGTTTCATAGCCTCAGTGCAGTGGGCAGCTGGGAGGAGATGCTCTTATTCTCCATGGACTTTACGGTGTCCCAAAACCTTTTGGAGTTAGTGCTACAGGATGCAAATTTCTGTTTGAAAAAGCTAGCCTCTGCTTTCTTAACTGATTGTGTATATTTGTTCCTGACTTCCCTGAAAAGTTGCATATCGCGGGGGCAGTTCGATGCTAATGCAATACGCCACAGGATGTTTTTGTGCTGGTCAAGGGCAGTGAAGTCTGGGGTGAACCGGGGCTATATCTGTTCTTAGTTCTGAATTTTTTGAATGGGGCATGCTTATTTAAGATGGAGAGGAAAGGACTTTTGAAGAACAACCAGGCATCCTCTACTGACGGAATGAGGTCAATATCCATCCAGGATACCCGGGCCAGGTCAATTAGAAAGGCCTGCTCGCTGAAGTGTTTTAGGTAGCGTTTGACAGTGATGAGGGGTGGTCGTTTGACCGCAGACCCATTACGGACGCAGGCATTGAGGCAGTGATCGCTGAGATCCTGGTTGAAGACAGCAGAGGTGTATTTAGAGGGTAAATTAGTCAGGATGATATCTTATGAGGGTGCCCATGTTTACGGATTTAGGGTTGTACCTGGTAGGTTCCTTGATAATTTGTGTGAGATTGAGGGCATCTAGTTTAGATTGTAGGACGGCCGGTGTGTTAAGCATATCCCAGTTTAGGTCACCAAGCAACTATCCTCCAACTCAAAGGATAAATGGGGGGCAATCAATTCACATATGGTGTCCAGGGCACAGCTGGGGGCTGAGGGGGGTCTGTAGCAAGTAGCAACAGTGAGAGACTTATTTCTGGAAAGGTGGATTTTTAGAAGTAGACGCTCAAACTGTTTGGGCACAGACCTGGATAGTATGATAGCCTGCAGAGCTCTATCTCTACAGTAGATTGCAACTCCGCCCCCTTTGGCAGTTCTATCTAGACGGAAAATGTTGTAGTTGGGGATGGAAATTTCAGAGTTTTTGGTGGCCTTCCTAAACCAGGATTCAGACACTGCTAGAACATCAGGGCTGGTGGAGTGTGCTAACGCAGTGAATAACTCAAAGTTAGGGAGGAGGCTTCTGATGTTAACATGCAAGAAACCAAGGCTTTTACGGTTACAGAAGTCAACAAATGATAGCGCCTGGGGAGTCGGAGTGATACTGGGGGCTACAGGGCCTGGGTTAACCTCTACATCACCAGAGGAACAGAGGAGGAGTAGAATAAGGATATGACTAAAGGCTTTAAGAACTGGTCTTCTAGTGCGTTGGGTACAGAGAATAAAAGGGGCAGATTTCCGGGCGTTGTAGAATAGATTCAGGGCATTATGTACAGACAAGGATATTGTATAATAAGAACTAACTGAAACAGCAATAGGCAAGGCATATTGACATGGGAGAGAGGCATAAAGCAATCACAGGTGTTATTAGAGAGAGTTAAGACAACAACTGGTAATGGCGACGAAAGTTTGGGCTGAGGCTAAACAGATAAACAGGATGGGGTACCGTGTAAAGGAACAGTCCAGCAGGCATCAGCTGTGTAGCTGAGTGATCATAAGGTCCAGTGAACAGTCCGGGAGTAGTTTGATGGCTGCTACGGCACAGGCGAGCAGGAGGCACGGCTGTTGATTGCGTGTGCTAGCGGGCCGGGGCTAGCAGATGGATCTTCGTGGTCGTCGCAACGGGAAGCCTGTTGAAACCACATCAGGCGATTACGTCAGCAGACCAGTTGTGATGGATCGGCGGGGCTCCGTGTCGACACTAGGAGGTCCCGTCCGGTTGACAGAGAGGTAGATAGCTGGGAGATGGGCCTGGCTCGAGGCTAGCTCAAGGCTAACTGGGCTCAAGGCTAAAAGTGACATTGAGAAATATATACGAAAAAGACAAAAAACTTTAAAAAACTGGCTATTTACACGAGCACACTACAGAATACACGACCGCACTGCTACGCTATCTTGGATCTAACTAGCTAGAGCTCTCAAATCATATCCTGATGTTGACAGCAGATGGGAGTTGTATTCATGACATGGCTAACTTCGCTAGCTAACATGCATTTAGAGAACAAGTTATATGACGTGGCTAGCTAACATTGGCAATGTTTGGTTGGTTTGGTGGCCAATGAGACTGGGCTAGCTAACCAGCTGAGCTAGCAAACAATGTAATGAAAGTATAATTTCAGAGTAGAAAAATACTTAACAGGCTCTGCATTTCAGGAATCACAGTAGCAAGTGCTCCTGGTGCACTCTTCAATGATTTAGCCATTTTAAACTACTGCCCTCACTGGTAATTGAAACGTAAGCTTGTCCGAGGTGTCGTACTCGACAACAGTTGCTATCCATTGGAGCGCTGCGATTGGTTGCCCAATATTCTGGGGTGGGGCTTAGCAAAGGGTCAATTCACCTGTAATGTCATTGGCCCTCCATCTTTTGCAACTTGGCTATTAACATTTGCAGTCATTTGTAAATTAGAGGACTCAGGTGTGGTTAATGTATTCAGGCAAATGTTCTGAGAAGTTTACATTACTCACATTTACAAATTTTCATCCTTCTCTATGAAATGCCTCTGTAAATGGAGAACTTCTTTTGGATGATATTTTGTTTGATACATGTCTCCACTCCAACTGAACAATAAGATTGACCAGATCTAATACAAGCAGCAAGAAACTGCAACTGGCTTGTGTTATTTGCCTCATAACGGAGGATGTGACTCGACTGCTCAATGTGTCTGACTTTTGTTATTACTAACTCATGTGTGTCCAATTTAGCTCCCCCCCCCCCCAAATGTGCCCACTCTCTTGTTTATGTCCTGCCGGCTTCACAAGTTTTTTGTTTTTGTCTGGTCCCTTGCTAGTTTTTTGTGGCTACATCGTGGCTCCTAAAACTCAGACAGGAAAGTAAAAAAAACAAGAGTAGCCAAGCTACCCCCAGCCTGCAAAAAACCCTCACATGAATGGTGCTGTTAACCAATGAGAGAAGTGTTCAGCTCGAAGGCCCAGTCCACGTTTGCAGCTTTGAAGACGGGCTGTGCCAGGACGGTCCGCCAGATGGGCCTGCCAGGCCGAAGGTCCAGTTCTGGGGATGTCCTGGGAGGCAGCAATGGAGCCTCGTCCGTTAGGCTCAGACCCAGGAGCTGCTCCCTGGAGAGAATCCTGGATGTATCGCCAGAGTCCGACTCATGCTCCCGACTCAAGTTGTTCCAGTCTACCGAGAGTCTAGCGTCCTGCAAAAGTAACAATGGCAGCAAGTACAGCACCCCACCTCAGAATAAAACAGACTCTCAGCCAGACAGCTTCCCTAACTCTGAATCCCAAGGCTTTGTCACCATGGCAACTCCTCCCAGTTGTGACACCAGTTCAGGTGCGACATCTGTAGAGGGTAGCGCTCACCGCGCCTGAAGCAGCATCTCCCTACCAATGGACAACCCCTCATTCAGTCAGATACCCAGGCCCAAGCACCCAAGGAGCATTGGTACCGGTTTGGATATAGCTGAGCACAGAGAGATGTCTGCCAGCTGTTTTGGTGATAATACCCCTGTAGCAGACATCACCATGAAGCCAGACTCCTCCTCCACTATTGGCCTGAGGGGCCCCAATCTGCTCAAGCTGAGGGCCAGCAGCATGGACCTCCGACCAGAGCCCTCTGTTAGCAGGCGCTGTCAGAGCTCTCTGGACCTGTCCAGGCCGACCCTTGCTCTGCCTTCTGTGTCCACTTATGCATGCTGCCGGAGTCCCGAGCAAAGTAAGCCTGTGTCTGCATGCTTGTGTGTTGTGGTGTTTGTGCTTTTGCATGTCTTAACACCTGACCTACCATTACTCATTGGGCTTTCACTAACATGGGGTGAGAATGTAATTGTCCTTTAAGAGAAGGTTATCACTGCAAGCATTTCAATTGTATCCATATGGATGCTCTCCAGATCTTTAAACTGCTCTGTTTAAAGTACGATGCCTAGATCCTCCTTATGCATAGATACCATTACATTTAATGATGACATTACATTTAATAACTTGTACAAGTAATTATTGCTGTAGTAGTGAGAAGCAATGGGTTTTCTGCCATTGAGATATAACATGGATTTCATCTTCCAGTTAAAATCACATCCAATGCTTCATTCACTTTAATGCATTTCATTAGCCTCAAGTCCTAGTGGTGTGTGTATGCGTCATTATCATCTGATGTATACAAAGGGCCAAGTACATACCCATCCTGTGTGTGTGTGTGAAGGTCTCCTCCAGCCTCAGTTGGAGCAGGTGGCCATTGAGGCTCTGCAGCTCTGCACCCTGTTGCTGCCCCCTGCCAGCCGGAGGAAGCTCCAGCTGCTGATGAGAATGATCTCCCGGATGAGTCAGAACGTGGACCTGCCTCGGCTCCATGATGCCATAGCAACACACACACTGGTGAGGAGAAACACAGGTTTTACAATTCTGCGTGATGATCTGGACTTAGTAAGTCTAAAAAGAGAATGAAATGAACATGTCCTCAACTCCATTATTCAATCCCATGGTGTTTCCAGATGGTGCATATGTTCTCTCACTGCATGCTGGGCTGTGAGGAAGAGATGGACCTGGATGAGCTGCTGGCCACCAGACTGGTCTCCTTCCTCATGGACCATCACCAGGAGATCCTCCAGGTGCCCGTCTATCTGCAGAACGCAGTCCAGGACCACATCGTCTACCTCAGGAAAGTACAGGTACAGTACTGCTGTCGCATGTTTTTTTTTCCATTATCAATTTTCTTTGATTTTCAACTGCTTTACATTGATGTGTATGAGAATTATGAGCCTGTTCTCTTTCCTCTCCTAGATAAAATACCAGGCAGTGTTGGTGCCCCAGTGCCCGTCTACTCCTTTTGTAGACGGATCAGCACCAAAGAGTTTGAGGAGCAGAAGCTGAGTGTCTCCCAGGCTGCCATCGCTGACCTGCTGGAGAGCCTGGTCAAAGACAAGAACATGTCTATGAAGGACAGGAAGAAGAATCTTAAGCAGGTAACAAGTTAGATGGCATGTTGTCTGAACGCTTTCATATTTTTCTCTAATCATCGTACTACAACTTTGTTTACAATTGATGATTTCGAAATTCTAACTGAAAAGTGTAAAAAATAGAAATAAAGTCTAATACATTTTTCTATGATTAGTTTCAGAGGCAGTATCCAGACATTTACGCACGCCATTTTCCCACTACTGTTCTTGCAGCTAAATGAAGGTGGGAGGGCTATACAGGGGAGACCACCTCCCAATTTAGACTGCAACTATGTAACAATTGTCTTTAGGGTTGAATTATGCATATTTTATATTGAGTAATGTGTTTATGTGTATGTTATTTTGAAATACTGCAGTAGGTATCTTTAGTGCACCAATTAAGTTACTTTGGGATCGATAATGACCTCTTATGGAGTATAATAAGAGACTAAAGAGAAACTAAAGCAAACCAAAACAATTTCTGAGTCAAATTTCTGATTTGGTGTTTTTCTGTCAATGTTGCAATTGATCTACATTCATACACCACCATTGATAAGAGTACAGTATTTAAACTTTCAAACGTTTGAGCATTTTTAGGGATTACATTTGTTATTAAGTGTGATTTGTCTACCTAGTTCATTAGGGTTGTCCGAAGTGCTCATAACATTTTGTCCATGTTTCACTTTTTTCTGTGTATGTTTTGGAATTGCACTTTTCTGTTGTTCTTTCATGTATTTTTTTTATTACATAACATTCTCTTAAAGTTAAGCTCAAACTGCTTTATTCTATATATTGGGCATGGGATTTGTCTATTTTCTTCCCTGGCAAGTTATGTTCAGCCATTTGGGATACAGAAAAGTTTTGCACAATTTTCTGTCATTTTAAATGAATGGTAACTTTGATCAATCAATACAATTGTTAATATATACTTGCCATATTATGTATTGTTACTGCCATCGATGAAGTATTAATAAACCTTCTGTAGGGGGGACTTTTGGACTCCATTTGACGCATTTTTCGAATACCTCTGTGGCTGTATACTTACCTCAAAGAAAGAGCCAATGACAACAGTTATAACCTTTTGTGTATTATTTCCTTGCCAAAAATTATGTTTACTATGCAACATTCTTAGGAAAATGTCCAACTGTAAAACAAAATGTTTACTCTTGACTAATTATGCAAATGTATCCGGTTTATTAGTGTTCTATAAAGGATGTGGTTTATTTCATCATATTTGTTGTTTACCCTATAGTGTGGCACAGGAAGGGAGAGTAAATGTTGCTACTCACACAGAATAACTGCCTTGCATCACTAATTACTTTTAAAATGCACAAATTCCACATATCTCTGGTGGATGTGGCAGAGCAATCTGTTGTTAGAATTCCAAGTGCATTGCAACCCAAGATGATGAATCACATGTCCCTCTGAGGCGGACCTCAACTGACAGCTTCATTCATCTAGATCCGTAGGAAGAAAAGGAAGACACCGTTAATCATACACGTCCATAACAAACACCCTCAGTGTGGGTGACTACAGAGAATATTGATTAAATAAACTTGTTTTAATCTGGAATCCATCAAATTAGTTAACTAGTGTGGGAACATCTTTCTCTGACATAACAACATGTAGAACAAACATTTTGAAACAAAGATATTGCATAATGAACTGCATTACTTTCCAAGTGTTTGTTGTGCAGACCCTTTTGTATCCTTTTGGGGCTCTCAGGTTAGCAAATGTGGTTCTGGTTCTGGTCTTAATTAGGCAGAGAAATTCCTTGAAGGGGTACAATTGTGTGGTGGCGGTGGGCTAAACGTCAATGGAAACTGAATGGTCTGGACACAAAGGAACTTTTGTTTCAGAGACCACTGGTTTGGGGGTAGGTTCTCAGACTCCCGGCGCTCTGTATGGGAATGGAACTGTGTCTATAAAGGCTACTTGATTACTCCGCAGTTCAGACTGGGCTTCCTGCACACAAACTGTGTTTATTCTCTAAAGGAAAATGGTTAGTCGGTGAGTAAATCCTTTTTGTACATTTTCCTTAGCTTCGCATAACATTTTCCCATACAAGAATATAGTAAGTTGGTGAGCAAACCAACATTTTGCAGACTTTCCGCATTGCATAACTTTGACAGGAGTATGTAAATTGTTGAGTAACTGTCTCCTTGTGCTAACTTTGCAAAGCTTTTTGATTTTTAGAATTTTTTTCTCCTCGCATTACTGTTTTACTGCACGCTATTGTCAAGCAGTTGAACATATTTTTCTGGTCTCAGATTGTAGTTTTTGGTTTTGATGAACAAGTAAAACTTTTAATTTAGGCCAGAATGAGGTACCTAATTTGGGTTTTTAGGTCAGGGCAGAAAACGTTTGTCAGTTCAGCAGCCTATTCTTTTTTGTAAATAGATGTTATATTTGATAACTTATTTGTTTTGATTTTCAGAATTCAGCATCCGGCTGGTGGGTACAAGAAAATCTTTGAGACGTGTGAAGAATTGAATGAGCCTATTCCTGCTATGGTTGTAGGTAGGTGAGGAAAAGGTCTCTTAGACTCCACTCCCCTTTGGTTTACAAGCGAGAAGGTTTGGTTTTTATCATGGTTGAGGTTGAGTGAGCATTGAGCACAACAGGGTAACATGGATCATTTCATGCTGTGTTCAGGTGTGATTCCAGAATGGCTGAGTGGCAGTCTATTGCGTCTGGGACCCGGCCTGTTCGAGGTGGGGGCTGAGCCTTTCTACCACCTCTTTGATGGCCAGGCCCTCATGCACAAGTTTGACCTAAAGAATGGCCATGTGACCTACTATCGGAAGTAAGCCCCTGTGTGTTGATGTTGACTTCAGTGATAATGCATAACACGTTTACACACTGAAGGTGGTGAAATATATATGAGGAGGGCTTGCAATTTTACAGTAACACACTGGTAGTAGTTGTGCAGTTATGTGAAATGTTCCCCTCTGCCTATAAATTTGACTGGAATGTTTTGGGGAACCTCAGTGTGGGCTGTTTCTAATTTAAAACAGTGAATACCAAAGCACAGAGACCTGCTACGTCTGCTCTCAAAAGCTTCTGAAAGCTGAAACAAGTGGGCCTATCAATTCCCAATCTGTATGTTCCAAACTACATGTTGTTTAAATGATGGTTTTAATTGTTTTTAAAGGTCCAATGCAGCTGTTTTTATCTCAATATCAAATCATTTCTAGCTAACAATTAAGTACCTTACTGTGATTGTTTTCAATTAAAATGGTCAAAAAGAAACAAAGTAATTATTCAAGCAAGAATTTAGCTAGGACTGTCTGGGAGTGGTCTGAGTGAGGGACCTAATTGGAGGAGCCTAATGGGGGAGCGACAGTATGTATCCTGAAAATGAACTGTTATTGGCAGAGCAGTTTAAGTCTTTGTTATTGGTCAATTAACTTATACCACCTGGTGATGTCGCCAGGCAAGCCAAAACTACATCCCTCCAAAACAGGCTGAAATTCCAAGCATATATTTTTTGATTTTTTCAAACTGCTCTTACACTAAAAGGGTATTATCATAATTTTCACAATTTCACAGTATTTCAACTTCAGAGTGGAAATACCAAAGAGAACACAGGAAACTCTGGTTTTTGACTGCACTGCCCCTTGAACTATTTCCTTTAAAAAAAAACGTAGTCGATGTCCGCGCCCAGCGCAAATTGAATTAGCATAATAAAAAAATTCCCATTAAAATCAGTCCGTTTTAGCTAGAGCTATATATTGTTTTGCATTGGATGAGTCTCAATCCACCGCATCCGCCGATGTCCCACTTCCACATCTGCTGTAAAAGGTGACCGAGCTAGAGCGGTGTTTGTCAGACCATGAGACATCCCGAAAATCGGTGTTCTCACAAAATCGCCTGTAGCGTCTGAAGATGGGACTCTCACGAACACAATGGTGTTCTCTGTTTTGCTTTACGACCCCCACAAGCGTCTTGGGACTTGTCTGTAGTGGGTCCAGCTGATCTGCCAACTTCTGTCTGTAGCGTCCGAACAGTTTGGGCTACACACTAATATGACCCCTCTGTGGAACACGTACATGTCATACATGTTGTTTTGCTCTAGGACGCCCACAGGCCTCAAGACTTGTCTGAAGATCCCACAGTACCAGTTGAAAAAAAATGAATGAAAGTACAGTATATATGGAGACTGTTTAGTGCCAAAAATAAGGGCTTAAATACATGTCCAAAAAATATTTTTTTCCTGAACTAATATCTCTGATATAGGACGGACACTTCAGAACAAACTTTATTTAGATTTTTTTGGGGGACTATCTGTTCAATGTAGTGAATCTGTTATTCAATGCGTTTGTATGGGCTAATAATTAACAGGGCTTAGACTGTTATGGGTTAACTTATGTTCCTCTGTAGATTTGTCAAAACGGATGCCTATGTGCGAGCCATGACAGAGAAAAGAGTGGTCATCACTGAGTTTGGAACAGCAGCCTACCCAGACCCCTGCAAAAATATATTCTCAAGGTCTGATTTGCTCTAATGTTATGATAAAGTAAAACAAATGTCGTCATGATTCAGTTATTAGGCATTACATACAAATGATCCATGCTTTCCTCATTTCATGAACCCTTTTCTCCTTCTCTGTTGTCTTTGTAGGTTTTTCACCTACTTCAAAGGGATTGAGGTGACAGATAATTGCTTAGTGAACGTGTACCCTGTTGGTGAGGATTTCTATGCCTGCACAGAAACCAACTACATCACCAAAGTGGACCCAGACACACTGGAGACTCTGAAAAGGGTATGTGCTGCTCACCCTGGCTAACATCAGATTGATTGAACATAAGAACTGTCATACGCCACAAAGGAAAAGTCTCACAAACTGTTTCTCCAGGTGGACCTTTGTGATTACCTCTCGGTCAATGGGGTGACAGCTCATCCACACATTGAAAGTGATGGAACGGTGTACAACCTTGGGAACTGTTTTGGGAAGAACATGTCACTGGCCTACAACATTGTAAAAATTCCTCCCACACAGAAAGGTTAGTTCTGCATACAGCATTGAGACTATTTTCTTGAAGTGAGATGTCCCTAAATTAAATGCATTGGGTCTTACTTGTCTGTCTTTTTCTGATGCTTGTTTTCAGACAAGTCAGATCCCATTGAAAAGTCCAAGGTTCTTGTGCAGCTCCCCAGCAGTGAGAGATTCAAGCCCTCATATGTTCACAGGTTAGTGACATCGTTGATTGAGTTCACATTCTATATTGAAACATTTGTGCTTATTACATTTATTTCAATGCTTTTTCTGTGTCCTCCATCAGCTTTGGAATGACAGAAAACTACTTTGTCTTTGTTGAGACTCCAATAAAGATCAACCTTCTAAAATTCTTGACTGCTTGGAGCATCTGGGGCACAAATTACATGGATTGCTTTGAGTCAAACGAAACCATGGGTGTAAGTAAAGGAACTTGTAGACCACTATTCTCTAATTGTATACAAAGCCTGTTAGCATTTCAATACTGATTATTGATATATTGGCACTATATTAAGCACACTATTATAAATGTTTTCATCACCATATAATAGTATATTTTTTTCTTATCTAGACATGGTTCCATCTGGCTATGAAGGACCCAGCTAAATACATAGAGCATAAATTCAGGACCTCTGCCTTCAATCTCTTCCATCACATCAACAGCTATGAGGACGATGGCTTCATCGTTGTTGACCTGTGTACTTGGAAAGGGTGAATACTGACCGGTTGTTATAATGACGAGAATAACAGATGTACAAGACACTTATCCGGTGCCCCTTTCTCGTTTGGTTTCAGTCATGAGTTTGTCTACAACTACCTATATCTGGCCAACCTGAGGGAGAACTGGGAGGAAGTGAAGAAAGCTGCTATGATGGCACCTCAGCCGGAGGTCCGGCGATACGTTCTGCCCATGGACATTCACAGAGTAAGTTTTATGCCCTTAATCTTGTCATTTCTGGAATAAGGACTTATCACTGCTTTGATGCTATCCTCTCAGGATAGAGGACTACATCGGTGAAGTCTTTCCCTTTTTTACTTGCAGGAGAAACAGGGGAAGAATCTGATATCCCTTCCATACACCACAGCCACTGCAGTGATGCGCAGTGATGGAACCATCTGGCTGGAGCCTGAGGTTCTGTTTTCTGGACCACGACAAGGTAACCCACACACAGCTTGTTTCATTAAACCTTGATGGTTCCCCTATTCTTATAGCATTTAATGCCACTAAATATCTGTTCATTTGTCATATCATCAGTCGTAAGATTTTTCTCATTCGATTGAATCAGTCATCTGAATTCCTTTATCATTGCAGCATTCGAGTTCCCTCAGATCAACTACAGTAAGTTCTCTGGGAAGAACTACAGCTATGCCTATGGACTGGGTCTGAACCACTTCATCCCTGACAGGGTGAGTCTAGCACACAGACGAGAACTAGTGGTACATTATCCAAGTCTGATGATTAGGTTTATGATTAAACTAACCTGCTGATAGTCATTCAGGGAGTAAGTTTGATTGTGTCCTGCTCCAGATCTGCAAACTGAACGTGAAGACCAAGGAGACGTGGGTGTGGCAAGAGCCAGACTCTTACCCCTCAGAGCCCATCTTTGTGCAGACCCCAGACTCTGTGGAGGAAGATGACGGTAAACAGAAGGGTTTTAGGGGATTCTATAATATCACAATCTGTTGTCTAACATTTCAACTGGATCAGGTGGCATGAATTCCCATACCTAAGCCGGATTCACCTTACTGTGATATAAAATGCTGACATACCGGTAGTATACAACTTGAAATACAAATGTAGGTATGCCTCTCTCGCACACTTCTGGTTTTGTGATTGTGATACTGCTCTCTTTTCCTCCTGCTAGGGGTGTTGTTGAGTATCGTGGTGAACCCTGGAGCAGACCAGAGGCCAGGATACCTCCTCATCCTCAATGCCAGAGACCTGACAGAGATCGCACGGGCTGAGGTGGAGGTCATCATCCCTGTCACCTTCCATGGAATGTACAAGCCTTAGGACTACTTTCTCAACACATCTACAGGACAATCAATCATGATACTAAAACCTTTGTTGGATTATACTTTATATAAGACACCTACTTATAGTGCATTCGGAAGGTATTCAGACCTCTTCCCACATTTTGTTACATTACAGCCTTATTCTAAAATTGATTTAATCAAAAAAAGAATCTCAATCTACACACAATACCCCATAATGACAGTGAAAACAGGTTCAGACATTTTTTAAAAATGTATTAACAATAAAAAACATACCTTATTTACATAAGTATTCAGACCCTTTGCTATGAGACTCGAAATTGAGCTCAGGTGCATCCTGTTTACATTGATCATCCTTGAGATGTTTCTACAACATGATTGGAATCCACTTGTGGTAAATTCAGTTGATTGGACATGATCTGGAAAGGCACACACCTACCTGTCTATATAAGGTCCCACAGTTGACAGTGCATGTCAGAGCAAAAACCAAGCCATCAGGTCGAAGGAATTGTTCGTAGAGCTCCAAGACAGGATTGTGTCGAGGCACAGATCTGGAGAAGGGTACCAAAAAATGTCTGCAGCATTGAAGGTCCCCAAGAACACAGTGTCCTCCATCATTCTATAATGGAAGAAGTTTGGAACCACCAAAACTCTTCCTAGAGCTGGCCCCCGGCCAAACTGAGCAATCGGGGGAGAAGGGCCTTGGTCAGGGAGGTGACCAAGAACCCGATGGTCACTCTATGACAGAGCTCCAGAGTTCCTCTGTGGCGATGGGAGAACCTTCCAGAAGGACAACCATCTCTACAGCACTCCACCAATCAGGCCTTTATGGTAGAGCGGCCAGACGGAAGCCACTACTCAGTAAAAGGCACATGACAGCCCGCTTGGCGTTTGCCAAAAGGCACCTTGCCATGAGAAAAAATATGCTCTGGTCTGATGAAACCAAGATTGAACTCTTTGGCCTGAATGCCAAGCGTCACGTCTGGAGGAAACCTGGCACCATCCCTATGGTGAAGCATGGTGGTGGCAGCATCCTGCTCTGGGGATGTTTTTCAGCGGCAGGGACTGGGAGACTAGTCAGGAATGAGGGAAAGATGAACGGAGCAAAGTACAGAGAGAGATTCTTGATGAAAACCTGCTCCAGAGCGCTCAGGACCTCAGACTGGGGAAAAGGTTCACCTTACAACAGGACAATGACCCTAAGCACACAGCCAAGACAACGCAGGTGTGGCTTTGGGACAAATCTCAATGACCTTGAGTGGCCCAGCCAGAGCCCAGACTTGAACCCGATCTAACATCTCTGGAGAGACCTGAAAATAGCTGTGCAGCGACACTCCCCATCCAACCTGACAGAGCTTGAGATTATCTGCAGAGAAGAATGGGAGAAACCTCCCAAATACACGTGTGCCAAGCTTGTAGCGTCATACCCAAGAAGACTCGAGGCTGTAATCGCTGCCAAAGGTGCTTCAACAAAGTACTGAGTAAAGGGTCTGAATACTTATGTAAAACTGATTTTTCAGTTTATTTGTGCAAAAATGTATACATCTGTTTTTGCTTTGTCATTATGGGGTATTGTGTGTAGATTGATTGGGGGGGAAACAATTTAAAAATTGTAGAATAAGGCTGTATCATAACAAAATGTGGAAAAAGTCAAGGGGTCTGAATACTTTCAACAATACACTGTATATCATTTGAGTATCTATTTGTTGAGGCATCGCTGGTGTTGCCTATGGAATATGTATGTACTGTGTGATCATGTAGCCTGTTCATTTGCTTAGTTTCAAAGTCCACATAGTAATGAATGTCTTAACCGTGACCCTGAACTGTGTTGCACTCTCTGACCTAGAGGCCTAGTGCTCATTAGCTATAATGGAACCATGTAATGTATGCACAGCATAGTAAGAATTAAGACACACAACTTATTTGAGATTTCTATGGTACATGTTTCAAGTTGTATTTACAAATGTGTTCTGCTACTTTTATACAAATAAACAAATTTGCATTGATAGTGTTATTACATTACAAATCTCAAATGTTAATTTTTTCTCCTCTGATCAGTACATCAGTTATGGTAATTAGTTCCTCCTATAAAAGGTGTTTTGTCAAAAAGATTTAACATGATACTTTTTCTGATAAAGGCAATTGTTTAAAATAAAAACCAGTGAGGCAGTTTCACATTCAGAGTAATGGAGTCCTTAGTTTGTTTTTGGAGAGCTGGTATTCCTGTTGTTTGATTTTCAGACTATCACTCAAAACCTGAGGAGAAAGGGAAAAAAAAAAAAACATGTAATGGGCATGTGCAAACTGATTACGATTTCCACTACGAAATTATTTGCAACACTAGGTAGGTTATTAATGAAAAAATACTAAGTAGCATTCATTAATCCTGTATCTTTTAAAAGGCAAATCCTAACCAACATAACGTCTTGTGACGGCCAGAGCCAACTAAACTATGCCATTATGTAAGTGTTTTGGTATTTCCATGGAAAACCTCAACAGCTGCTTCCAGCCAGGACTCTGTGAACCTATATAAGTGTCAGGTATGATTCTCAGAGATTTACCTTCCACGTGTCCTGGGGAAGAATCACTCCATCATCCCAGAGTCTGCCAGACGAGAAGAACGCAGAACTCTCCTTCTCCAACCTAAAAGGATAAATACTCCTGGTAGTCCTTTACACTCGTAACCGTTATACGGGTTGAAAATGGCAGATTTGGACACTGATTGGACCGCAGTGGCTGCACAGTAACATGCTATACATGACGTCAGAGCTCTGGCTCAGCGCTTCACAGCTCTAATTGGGTTTTGACTGACAGCCATTCTGAACTTGAGCGCCGCAAGAAGCTGCCCCCATCCCTCCCGCTAATTGGGAAACTTTAGCAAATATTTTGTTGCATGGGGGAACTGCTGTAAATTACGAGGCCTATGTATTTTGAAAGGATGAAGATTATAATAAATACCGCTTTGTCATACAAGCAAGTCAAACCCCCGTGAGTCCAAATGCGCACTTCACATTTCCATATAATAAAACTAATGTTACATACAGTGTCAACATTTATGATCACTATGTTTGATGTACAGTTATAAAATGACATTGCGTTATACCCTGGGTTGTCCTAAACAGAATGAGCCTATCTTTGTTGTATTGTAAAGAAAATGTCCTGTGGACCACGCATCTGAATGCATGCATGACTCCATTCTATGCGTACCAAAATTATGATCTGTTTCTCTGAATTGCTTTGTGAAAGCCTAACACTAAGATCGTATTTTATAATTTAGCTAGTCATGTTGGCAATAGAACAACCTTTCAAATGATTCCCACCTGACCCAGATAGTGATATATAATGGACCGTTTTTTGATTGCATAAACAACAGGTAATTGTGTAAAGACAGGGATGCAGGTGCAAGTCTTTTTGTTCTAATTCCTCAATGGCACAGCTAGGAGAGCTCAAAAAAGCACCCTATAGTTGAAGACTCTTCTTTTGAGTCATAAAAGTGCCTTGAAATGACTTAGGAACTGTGTACATATTGGAAAGGTGTGAAGCCACTTGGAGACACCAGTTAGACCTCTCACTCAAACCCTTGTCATTTATTTGTTTTATTTTGTGACTACCCCATATTTTACAATAATATTATGATCATGTTACTGAATGTATCCAGAGTATTTTCAGATTTCGTTATCAACAAATGTGGTGAAAAGTACAGTAAATGTAAAATGCACATAAAATCAACAGTGTAATGTTTGGATTCCGTCTTGTGTCAGGTGAACTGTTGTGTCTTCACCTTTCATCTAATAATTTCCCCATAATCTCCAAACGGTTCCCTTTTAATTGCTACCATGGTTATGTGTATGCCTTCCAAGTGTCTTCTGTAAGAAACATTTCAATGTAGCCCTAACTATATACAGTGAGGGAAAAAAGTATTTGATCCCCTGCTGATTTTGTACGTTTGCCCACTGACAAAGACATGATCAGTCTATAATTTTAATGGTAGGTTTATTTGAACAGTGAGAGACAGAATAACAACAACAAAAATCCAGAAAAACGCATGTCAAAAATGTTATAAATTGATTTGCATTTTAATGAGGGAAATAAGTATTTGACCCCCTCTCAATCAGAAAGATTTCTGGCTCCCAGGTGTCTTTATACAGGTAACGAGCTGAGAATAGGAGCACACTCTTAAAGGGAGTGCTCCTAATCTCAGTTTGTTACCTGTATAAAAGACACCTGTCCACAGAAGCAATCAATCAATCAGATTCCAAACTCTCCACCATGGCCAAGACCAAAGAGCTCTCCAAGGATGTCAGGGACAAGATTGTAGACCTACACAAGGCTGGAATGGGCTACAAGACCATCGCCAAGCAGTTTGGTGAGAAGGATGACAACAGTTGGTGCGATTATTCGCAAATGGAAGAAACACAAAATAACTGTCAATCTTCCTCGGCCTGGGGCTCCATGCAAGATCTCACCTCGTGGTGTTGCAATAATCATGAGAACGGTGAGGAATCAGCCCAGAACTACACGGGAGGATCTTGTCAATGATCTCAAGGCAGCTGGGACCATAGTCACCAAGAAAACAATTGGTAACACACTACGGCGTGAAGGACTAAAATCCTGCAGCGCCCGCAAGGTCCCCCTGCTCAAGAAAGCACATATACAGGCCCGTCTGAAGTTTGCCAATTAACATCTGAATGATTCAGAGGAGAACTGGGTGAAAGTGTTGTGGTCAGATGAGACCAAAATCGAGCTCTTTGGCATCAATTCAACTCGCCATGTTTGGAGGAAGAGGAATGCTGTCTATGACCCCAAGAACACCATCCCCACCGTCAAACATGGAGGTGGAAACATTATGCTTTGGGGGTGTTTTTCTGCTAATGGGACAGGACAACTACACCGCATCTAAGGGATGATGGACGGGGCCATGTACCGTCAAATCTTGGGTGAGAACCTCCTTCCCTCAGCCAGGGCATTGAAAATGGGTCGTGGATGGGTATTCCAGCATCACAATGACCCAAAACACACAGCCAAGGCAACAAAGGAGTGGCTCAAGAAGAAGCACATTAAGGTCCTGGAGTGGCCTAGCCAGTCTCCAGACCTTAATCCCATAGAACATCTGTGGAGGTAGCTGAAGGTTCGAGTTGCCAAACGTCAGCCTCGAAACCTTAATGACTTGGAGAAGATCTGCAAAGAGGAGTGGGACAAAATCCCTCCTGAGATGTGTGCAAACCTGGTGGCCAACTACAAGAAATGTCTGACCTCTGTGATTGCCAACAAGGGTTTTGCCACCAAGTACTAAGTCATGTTTTGCAGAGGGGTCAAATACTTATTTCCCTCATTAAAATGCAAATCAATTGATAACATTTTTGACATGCGTTTTTCTGGATTTTTTTGTTGCTATTCTGTCTCTCACTGTTCAAATAAACCTACCATTAAAATTATAGACTGATCATGTCTTTGTCAGTGGGCAAACGTACAAAATCAGCAGGGGATCAAATACTTTTTTCCCTCACTGTAGGCCAATTTCCAGAAGTGTAATTAACAAACATTCAGACATTTACAACCACACAAATCAAATATTCATAATATTCCTGTATGAAATACAGTACTATGGGTGTCTTACCTCTTATTGATCTTCTCAATGTCCTCCTCCTCTTGTGCCAGAGCTGCAGATTGACCAGGGGTTAACAGGGATACTCTGGCATTAGGCCATGGGAATAGGAATTTTGGGTCAAAGGACCTGCCACACTAGATAAAGAAAACCACACACAAAAGAGAGGGACCAGTTCAGTTAGTATTTTAAATATATAAAGGAATTGATGTGTAGACACTAGGCAGATTTTAATACAGTGACTACTGCTGGCATTATTGTACAAACCATAGCATAACTGTCAGGGCCATGGTATCCCCCAATGACGACTGTGATTTTTGGAACAGAGACACAGCAGACATCATTGAACCCTGAGCCGTTAGTCTGTTGGTCTCTGCCTACAGGAGAGAGGATAAATACTCACAGATCTGTTCCATGAGTAACACCAGCATAACCTTTTTAAGACACTGACATGAAATTCCACAACCATGTTTAAGAACGAGTGTGAGAACTGAGCGCATAACAGTGTCTGCTAAATGACTAAAATGTTAAATAACAGCTAATGAAACATTCTGATGACATGGCTGTTTTGAATTCAAGACCAGATTCTAATCATAGTGCTATATAACAGAGCTGGCTGAGTTCCACAGGAGTGTATGTGTGTTTACAAAGGCATGTTGAGATGCCTCTCTGTGCTCCTCTTCACCAGTTTTTGTGCTTCATAACAAAGTGCTGTTTTATTATGTGGTGAGTGCTCAGGGTTGCCTGCAGTGCCATACCTGGGTTAGGGAAAGGGTCAGCTCTGGCGTTGGGACGGTGTTCTGTAGAAATATCAGGGGAATGTCTCGCTGGTCACACAGCTGGACAGAGTGGCTGCCTTTCAATGATGCGTTGTGCGTTAGCTCCCCATTGCTCGCCACATTGCCAACCTGATGCCTGAAGAAAAACATACAAGTCAGGCAATTACACTTGAATAAAACGTATTGCCTTCATAATAAAAAAAAAATACTTTTAGTGGAGTTTTTAAGAATGCAAACAAAAGCAAACTTTTTGTCATGATTTATTACTTTTTTCATCAAGTAATTTCTGTTATCCTGATCAATTGTTTGAGCGCCAGCACCTGATCAAGATTGCAATACCCTCTGCATCTAGAATATTCAGCTGCCATGGCAACGAGCCGCTCTCAGAGAAGCTCTTTGTAAAAGCAGATGAAAGCTGGCTGAAGAGACTTATTTTCCTTCTTTTGCCTTGTGTTCTCCATTCTCATTAAAAAAGATTGCCCATCTTAATCTGGCTCTTGTTTTGGTAAGTAAAGATATGATTGGTCAGAACACACTAATCTGATTTGCAAATTAACAGGGTTAAACGTTAATCTGCTGACGCTCTTTCGTTCAATATTCTGCTTCAAAAATGTGTCATGTAATTCATATATTATCTGAACATAGAGGTTTTAAGAGGTTCCAATATGCATGTACTTTATGAAGCAATGAAAGACTGCATGAAAATATAATGAAGTTAGTTGTAAAAGTCTGACCTTTAAGAAAAAGTCTAGACGGCATCTTGTAGGAGGATAGGTAAATGCTTCACACAATCAACAGCTCTTACCTGTGAATTGAGGCAAAACCAGTCACAAGGGTTGTTCCATATTGAGCCTTTAATTCCTGTGTGTGTGCGCATGTTGAGCTGACCAGTTTGACATCCAGCGTGGCCCCACCCAGACTGGGGACACATCTTCCCCTGTGGCCCCTTTCACCAAGGGAGATCTGCCCCCCGAAATATCGTCCTGATCCGGTGTACCATCACTGTCTCTTCTGCCATAGTGGGGATGTATGCACCGCCGGCTGTACATGAACCACAAACCACTGACACCTAGAGGAATTGAGACATGGCAGACATGATGGCTTCACTGTAGAAAGTACGTCCTCCTTGGTTTTTATCAGGGAAGATCTCAGACTGTCAATGAAATAATTTCATCAGTAGTATTAGTGTTCTGTTGTATCTTGATATGAGTCATTCATTATTTGTATTGGTCTCAGTGATTCCAGTTCATACCTGAAGAGGGAATCACCTCCACTATCCACCAGGTATACACAGGGCAGCCGGTTCTGGATGGCCACATCCTGGGCTCTGAGCTGCTTCTTGACAGTGATGGGGTAGGCTGTACCACCACTCACAGTGACATCATTAGCAATAAACACACACCACAGCCCGTTGATTTGACCTATGCCTGCAACAGTGGAGAGTGCCCAATGAAGTGAAAAGTCATTATGACGAGTATAACACCTATTCTTACTTATACATATTTCATTATTACAATGCACTGCACCAAGACATTTCCCTTGCTGCCAAATTTGAGGTTGGACATTTACATGAGTGATAGGCATGCATTAATAGCATCCATCACTGACAGAGCAGAGCACCCTCTCTACCTGTTACACAGCCTGCTGAGGGGATGTCTCCATAGGGCAGGCCCATTCCAGCGAAGGGAGACAGCTCAAGGTAGTATCCGTCGTCTAACAGCATGCGAAGACGGGCCGTAACCAACATCTTCTTGTTTCTCTGGGTGTGCCTCTTTACTGCATTCTCTCCACCCACTTCTTTAAATATTCAATATACCTGCAAGGGCCACCATAGTCAGAAGGCTGTTGCTATACAGCTGAAATGGAAAACTAGTTGATACACTGAGATTGCTGAGTTGTATGGAGTTTCTACCTACCTTTGTTGTTTCGGCTGTTTGGTAGGTTAGCATGGAATCAGTAGAGGCTGGTGGGAGGAGCTATAGGAGGATGGACTCATTGTAATATAATAATAATAATATAATATGCCATTTAGCAGACGCTTTTATACAAAGCGACTTACAGTCATGTGCGCATACATTTTTACGTATGGGTGGTCCCGGGGATCGAACCCACTACCCTGGCGTTACAAGCGCCATGCTCTACCAATTGAGCTACAGACGACCACAGTAATGGATGGAATGGAATAAATGGAACAGAGTCAAACATGTGGTTTCCATATGTTTTCATTCCAGTCATTACAATGAGCATGTCCTCCTATAGCTCCTCCCACCAGCCTCCTCTGCCTTGAATACATCATTGTGAATTGGCTGGAGGGCGTCATCTAAAACTAGAAAGGCACTTGGCAATCGCCTTCTGCGCACACTGGTGCTCATCAAGTAGGCTGACACTGGCTGCTGCTTAGCTCGGCCTGAGAGAATGTGTGCCAAAGGTTACCATAGGTTGCCTGCTGATATCTTTGAGTGTGTTCTGGACACCTGGGCATGCTAGGATTGCATGGGTCAACGTTCCATGGAGTTGACTGAGATGAGCTATAAATAGGACGTAGTCTGCCTTTGATCCTCAAACCCCTGAAAAGCAATGAATGGATGACATGTTTGTTAGAGAATGTTTTAATGAGATATCTAGCTAATTGATTGACAACACTCCCCATTATTTCTGGTTTGTTGACAATTGTAGCAACAACAAAAAAAACATTGTAGCTAGCAGACTATTTTGTTACAATCTAACACACAGAGCTATGTATGTCACCTAAGTATGCCAAGGTCATCACTGTATTTTGGCTGTTGTGAACTAAGCTAGCTAGCTAGCCCTTGATCATGACTCTCAGTTCCATTACATTATAAATAAGAGTCATTGGACGAAGGTGTCTTCTGTAGGGGGGTGTTTTGTTAAGAGCCCCGACACTCAATCTGAACATTAACACGCATCGCTTGCAGTATGGTTATGGAAGCATAAGACCTTCCCTTTCATATCAGCAAGAAATAATAAAAATTTAAAAAAAAATAGGTTAAATTGATACACACCAGAGGAGGCTGGTGGGAGGCGCTATAGGAGGACAGGCTCATTGTAATGGCTGGAATGGAATTAACGGAATGGTATCAAACATTTAGAAATTACAATTACATGTATTCCATTCCAGCCATTACAATGAGCCCGTCCTCCTATAACTCCTCTGACCAGCTTCCTCTGATACACACCTTGTTTAGTGTTAGTGTTCTCAAATGGCCATATTTCCATGTTACAGCGCTTGTTTGGTTAAGACAAGAGACAATCACCTGTGCTAATTAGCTCTCTACCATGCGCATAACACCTGTGTGTAAGCGTAACTCTGGAAGTGTAGTTCGTTGAATGAAGGCACTCATAGCGGGAGAAGGTAGAATACCTAACGTTTTCGAGAGCTAAGTAGCAGCAGTCATCTAGCTTGGTAGCAATTATGTTTACAGTACACAGACATACTTTTAGCAATATGACAAATCATTTGGACTATGTGCACCAAAGTAGCTACTTACATTGATAGTTATCTATAGATGACTGTTTAGCTGCGTAAAATATGTTTACGTCTAATATAGTTTACTCCCATAAAATAACTTTGCTTATAGGTGTTACACGAACTAACGTCTTGACAGAAACAAAATGATCCCTCAATGCTCCTATCTGGTTGGCCTATACCCCATACATACCACTAAATGGCGCCATTTACTAATCAATAAAACAGATTAAGCATGATTGTCAATCGCAGAACTGATAAGTGTCGGTGCAATTCATTAAAAAAAGGTAACATTAGTCCCCTAACATTGCCCACTAAATGTATATTTATAAATTCATTGTATTCAACAGTAAGAGTTAAATAAATGAAAGGTTAATGACTTACTGTGGATAACTTTTGAGGCCAATTTATTCCAACCAAATCATCCAAGTGATTGTTTTGACAACTGATCAAATGGTCAATAGCAGCTATTATGAATATGTCCGCAGCTAATATGAATATTTCAACAAAATTAATCGGTTGAGGATACAATTTATTCAGAAAGTCTTCCCTTCGCACCAAATTTTGGGAATTTCAAAAATAGTGTGCAGAGGATCGTCTCATCAGCATAGTTCTAGAATAGCTCATTTAATTATTTTATGTGTTTAAACTGTTTTCTTGATTACTAAATAATAAGGAATAACATGCATGCATTGGACATTTTATTGGAGAACCTGAACCTCCCGTTTCTCTGTATCCTAGATCCCAACTTCCTTCGCCAGAGCTGAATTTAGACAGCTCCTCAGGAGTGAGCAAGGAGTGTACACCACAGACGACTGCAGACGATTGGGAATCGCAACATTGGCGAGTTTTGAGGGGGGAATACACTGACAATCTGGGGGTTTAGCAACCAGGGAGTCCACAATGACTTGGGGAACGGAGCTTTGGGTAAGTTTGCTATTGGTATAAACCATTTCGCTGTCTTCTTTGTTCTTGTGTGGATAACACGCTTGCCACAACTTAGCACGAATTCGATGAAGGTGCTCGGTTACCTTAGCATTGTGTAAGCTGCTAGCCAGCTAAGCCTGACAGACAAGCGCCTTTACCATAGTAGAGACGGTAAACAATAGGCAAGGCGTGTAGAAATGTCCGCCAAGCAAAGATAATAATTTGCTTATCTTTGTCTAGTACTTGTTATCATAACACTGTATCTGGCTTGATTAATCAGTTATTGATTTATGTTTAGCAGTTGAATAGGACGTCTATCACACCCTGTCTCTTAGTTCACATACAGACTAACTAGCTAGCTAACGTTAGCAATCCCCCCAAAAAGGTGGAGACAGGAGGGTAACACCGGTAGCTAGCAAGCAACCTCCTGTACTGTTTTCTCGCTCAATGCTTTTATGGATCTGATGGCTACCAGCAGAAAACAATACACGTACACATTTCGTTTAACTTGGTTTTAAAGCTCGAGTTATTTTATGGCTCTGTTTCCTCGCTGGGTCTTTGTGAGTGACTCTTCAAGCTGCTTAACCAGCATTGGTCCCAGTTTGCTACTAGGAGATTGCGCAAGTCAAATAGTTAAACAATAGTAGACTTGAGGAAATCAAGCATTTTTTTCTCCCCCAAATATAACGTAACAATAAACTACCCACCCATTGAACAGACGTGTGGGGGGGCTTATTCCAGGTGTCGTCTTTGTCATGTCTGGTCTGGCTTGCCCTCTGACAGCCAGCCCCCTGGCTACACCACCCGGCTTGTCCAAGGGGTTTAATCGTCAACATTATTTTTGTGACTATAGCTAGCTAACATGTTACTGCAGCAAAAATCTGTTCCACATTTTTTTGTTATTGAGAACATAATCTTCACCTATCAAAATATTCGTCAGCAGGGACATTAAACTCCTATGACATGTATTCCAGTTACATGGGTGTTGCCCGTAAAACGTTTTGGTCACCACCGGTAGCCTACCAATGGGGCAATGGGGCAGTTTCTCCCCCTAATCATTCTAAAATGTATAGTTGCAAAGACTGCAGTGTCGCTGCCAACATGATTGCTAGTCAAGGAAGTGATGAGCCTGTTTCATACCATTTACATTGATAGCTAACATTGATAGAGATAACTGCACTGTTATGTAGTGTGAGGGAAGAGAACAATATGTTAAAGCTTTATTCAACATGTGATTGATGTGGCTCATATGGGTTCACTTCAGTATGATGAACTTTGAACCTGTATTCCTGAGAAAATGTAGATTTGCTACAGTTTTTCCTGAATGATTCCGTTACTGCTAAATTAACATTCTTTAAAGCATGCCGGTGCCCTGAAAAGACTAAAGTATGTATATTCCGGCAATAGCCTACAGCTCAGTCTGTGAGGATCTTACTGCTTGATTGCAAGAGATGTCTGTATGATAAAGGTCTCATAAACCTAACCTACTGCACCATGCTGTAAAATGCCTAATTTGCCCAACCTTCTCCAATTCAAATGTTTTAATTTGCGCTGTAAACACATTAACCTTTGCTGTCTGATTTTCTGGCTGCATGTGTTAGGCCCTTATCCCTTATATTTTAACTGTGTGCCATGCAGGCACCAACTTGATTCAGAATGCTCATTCCATATTATTTTACTCTTAAATCTCTATCAGGAATCCCTTCAAGACCTGATTGGGTTATTTATTCCACTGTCTCTGGTTCACTGAAAGGCATCTCTAGTTACATACAGTAGATTGATTTGCATCTGTAGCACAGTAACACCGATGTCATCTGCCTTGTCTCTTTTTATTAATGAAATTAATTTAGCCCTGATGCCTTCTGGTTCCTACCTACACATTGAGTCAGATTAATATAATAGTTTGATTGGTGCTGGCACATGCGGCAGATCAAATACACTGCTGGAACACCGATTAAGCTGTTTACATGTCCTAATAATTCGTAAGATTCAGAAAACCAGGTGTTTTAATCGTTGCATGCTTACTTAGATTATGACCTTACGCTGAAGAAGATAAGGTGTTTACATGACTAATGCCATACTCAACCTACTGCCATAATCAGTTTAATATCGAATTATTAGTGTGCATGTAAGCGTACTAACCGCAATGCAATAATGCAAAAAAACACATCTGGGCCTGTCTGTAGTCAAGGAATGACAGGTGTCATATTGACATGATTTTGGGCTCTGATGGACTGTTACTGTAGGCCATGTGTGTGCATTACACATTTCTATGTTCACATGTCAAAGTACTGTCTGTCTGCCTGGCATGTTGGCATTCATCCATGGCTTTGAGACTTAAAGCCTGAGACTAACACATCCTATTACATGGGGTCGGCATGCCCCCACCAGCTAACTGACTGAGACTGACTGACTGGAGATGATTTGTGAATGGAAGCAGTGTGTCTACGAAATGTTACCATGCTGAGCACACAGGCTATCACAGGCTATCAACAGTTATTCTAGCATTCTTTTTCATAACAGATGTCTTATAGGCTAGTTTATGTTCTGTTGACTGCAACAGCTGTTAACAGGGAGGGATATGATTATGATCATGGTTAAAGTCTGGCTTGTCGTTTGTGCAATGAAGAGTGATGGAGTTCGAGAGAGTTCAATTAAGGACACAGATGTTGAGTCCCAGCTGAGACCTGGCATTGCATTCAGTTCACAGCACCCAACATGAAATCCTTCTCCTCAGTAGGTAGAGAGGGTTGTGATATCACATGATTGTGTAGGGGAGTGTGTGGATGTGAGGGTGGATGTCGTCTTTAATAAAGGGAAGTTGTGCAAGCAGGTATGACTTAGGGAGGTGTTGAGCAGGGAGAGAGTGGAGGGAGGAGGTAGACAGGGTCGTGGAGACAGAGGGTCTGGTACGTAACATGTGTTCCCATGCATTCCCAGGGGCAGACTGGGAACATTGAGGGGAAATGCTGCCCTGCCCAGGTAAATTACGCAGCACAAAACAAAATAAATGTGGTAAAACAATCAACGAGAGAGGAGGTGTATCGGGAGGAATCACAAGCAAACAGGGATTTGATAGGTGGCGACACTACTGCATATCCAGAGTGCCTGCAGCGTTGGATTGCATGCATTTGTTAATTTTTGTTTTACTTA